GCATTACATAATATGTGGTGTCTCAAAACAAGTGCAATGACATCTGCTGATCTCCAACCAAATCGTACTCGACACCAACATTAAAGGAAAAGCCAGTATGCCATAAATATCATGTTCTCAATATTATTATATACGTGAACATTATATCGTTGATATATTTGGAATGGGGTTTTTTCAATTCTCAAATCATTGATATAAGGCTGGGGTTTTCCTTAATTCGACAGAAGACAAAAATCTAAACAATCATTAAGAAGGAGGGCTGGTTTCTGAATTTAGAAAATGTCATCATCAGTAACTGATGATGCAGTGATTTAGAAACAATCAAGCATTAATACCTACTTCATAGCTGTGAACCCCTAATTAAGGAATCAAAATCTAGATGGACTCAAAATAGTAAAACAATTAATATTTATAAAGCTTTAAAAGGTTTTGGATGGTTTCTTTTATTAGGATTCAGTTGTGATTCAAATGAAATTACTGTTAGCGATATTTTTAATGACCATAAATCCCTTAAACATTTAGCAATAACCGTATAGTATATAACACAAAGAATTATCTTAATATCTACCTGAAGAAAAAGATGAACATATGAAAATGAAAATGAAAAGAACAATGAACTTCATTTTCTCTGTTGTCCCCACCATCTATGCAAAGTTAGTGCGCAGTCGATTTTCAAGTAAAGTGGACAAAAATACTTAGGGGAACGGTATATATGTATTATGTGTATATAAATATAACTAGTTTTATTCAAAATTCGTACATAATTTCCGAAAAATATTAAAAATGTTGCGGGAGTAGTCGCCACCCCCACCCAGTCCCTCAGCCACCGTGCAGGGCCAACTCAACCTAGGGTGGCCGGATTCTCCGGGAAATAGTACTGATCTCTAGTCCTCCATAACAAGGTTAAAATGTGAAAACACTACAAGTAAAACTAAATTTTCTACATAGACTGCATCCTCTCCCCAAATGTAGAGAATTACAGACCAAAACAAAGGATTAACAAACAATATATGCAAAATCCTCATCCATTAACAACTTTGTTACAAAATCATTCAATAGACAAATTTCTAAAGAAAGTAATACTGAAAACATGAAACTAAAAGCTGATTTCATAAGGTTCTGTAGTCAAAATGAACAATCAGCCAATAACCACGTCTCTCAGAGGAGAGGAGAGAAGAAAATTTCATGGAAGGAAATTGCCTAGATTCAAACATCCCCTCCGTATGGGGAGAAGCAAAACAAAGTTCACTCAAATCCAAGTTCATAAAATGTTGAGTTCAAATGGTGAAATGCTTATGGAAACCAATGAAGAAATATCAACCTGCCAAGAATCACACCGAAGATGTAACATAGTGGCTCAGATAAATGAAGAATCATCGCTTCATATCCTGCACCAAGAAGGGGTCCAGAAATTCTGTTTGATTATTATCTCAACCAAAACCCAAATCCATGAACCGATAGAGGTAGCTGGATTAGATATTCAGAAATCACGACATTGAAAAATATAATTCAAGAAATTAGAGGGCGCACTCACAGAATTCGGCACTATTGGTGTAGTCTAATTATTCAGTATTCGGGAGGTAGATCCTGAAAACGTCTTTCACTTTAAGTTTCTGCCTACAGGTGGGACATTTGTGCTGAATTTTAATTGCAACAGTAATACACTTTTTGCAGAAGATGTGGCCACACTTGGTTGACGTTTCTTCAACAACTATTTCCATGCAAATTGGGCAACTAAATATGGGTGGTTTTTGCTGTGGAACGGGCTGGGATAACTGAGGCATCACAATTTGATGAATTAATTGTGAGCAATAATGAATGAATCAAGGAAATGAACAGCATTGAGTCAGACAAAAACACATGTAGATGCCAAATAAAGGTTTAAATTTCCAGAGCTGGATATACCAATGAATTTGAGAATAAAAACTTTCCCACACAGCGTGAACAAGTGATCAATAAAAAATTATGAATTATATGAGCTCAAAAAGCTTAATGTTTTTGTTTATAAAACTGAAACATCTATACAAGATCAAACAATGTAATGCTATTGAACGTTATCCCATAAGAGAAAGAGAGCCCATAAAATATTATATGAGCTACAGACAATTAAGATGATAAATGGTTAGCAAAATAGCTTTCCAGGATACAGAATTGTCTCCGAAAGACGGAGAGCAAAGCTCAGGGACATGACAAAGCGGTGCATTATCAAAAAATGTTTCAACTTTATTAAAAATAGTTCAAATTCTAATATGTAAGTTCTTTGGGTTGGTAGGTTTATCACCGTTATTCTCAACCTCCAAATGCAGTATGGATGATATCAGTTCTACATATTCTAGGTGGAAAAACCTGTGACCATGACTTGGATAGAAAAAGTTCTTAAGCAAAATAATGAGAGGAAAAATTATAAGCAGCATTTAATGGAAATGGGAGGAAAATGAGTTTGGAAAGGTGGTGATATAGGGCAGAGAGAGATCTTCTCAGTAGCCAAACAACACAGTTTCCAATATTTGTTCTGAAGTTTAGAGATTGAAATCTAGCAATAGAAATCAAAGGGGGTGGGTAGGGAAGTGGGTTTAATGCTCGTGGCATTCTACAACTCAGGTCAGAGGTTTTCTTCAACATGCACAATCCTTCGGTAGTTTTTTCGATCTTTCACTCCCTTTTGAATTATAGGCCAAAAATATTCTGCACCTATCATGAAGAACTAATTCAAATGTACAAAAGAATTAACACTAACCCTTTTAAAACTCATTTAAAAAGGAAAAATATGTAATTTTTAAGAATCACTTATATAATCTAAGAAATAAAAATAAAAAAAACTAAAAGGATAGATGGGCTCTTGATCAATAAAATCTGGCAACACGAGCATTGGTAGTGAAGATATGATGAGATACGTCTAGAAGGTACAGAATGAAACATCCTTCACTTTGGGGGAAAGGAATAATTGGAGCAAATTAGGAAATCCAATATCACCTTCTAGTGAAGCCAATTTATGATTGAAATATTATGAGCTAAAAAAAAAAAAAAA